CATCTAAAGAAGGAATTGAATCGTGATTCAATAAACTCATTCGAACAACTTCAAATTCAAGTCGTAATTTCATTAAAATTTGATCTCGCTTACTATCTTCTTGTAGAGCTGGTAGAGCCGCCACAAGAACCTTAGCATGAGTTATGCTAGAGTACTCACTTCCCAAGTTTAGAAAACTAGATTAATATTGCTCAATAGTAAAATTACCTTGAGTGTAGTCACCAATCTCTAACTCCAACCGAAATCTCCCTGCATCATTGTCTTGATAATAAATTCACTTTAAGTACTCCCACATCTCCTTAGCAGTAGTGAAAAAATGTAAATTATTCACCATGTGCGCTTCCATATATCCCAAAATCTAAGAAATAATATGAGCATCCTTCGTTTCCCAAGCACTAAAATCCTTAACAACCTCTGGCACTTTAGATGACTCATTGGTATGATTCCAAAGCTCATTCCCTTTTAGAAACATCCTGAACTGGAATTCCCATATATGGTAATTATTTCTCATAAACTTAGTACAAAATGCTTCAACCGACGTACCTTCTTACTGTAAATGTATCACCCACACAAAACAAACCTCACAAAAAGAAAAATTAGCAACCGACAAAAAAGAACCATCAACCCAATTGATATAAACCCTCATAAAAAAATAAAAAAAAAAATTAAAGAACCAACAGCCAACACAAGTGAATCCACACAAGTAAACATGCCTTAGATCACAGAACCCATGCAAATAAATCCATAGAGAAGTCGACGATTCTCAGATAGAAATCTGATCACCCTCCAAAATTAGCCACAGTGAATTGATATCCACCGATGAAGAAGAAAGCCGTCGATTCCAAGAGGTGAGCCAAAACTAATCTCTCACATTGCAACCACACTACCACCGATCGTCACGCTTGATATAGATGATGTCAATTGTCGACCTAGAATCCCAAACAAGACTACCATAAAGCAAGAACACTCCAAAGGATTGAAGGCTAGTGCGGAACCAGAGACAAACGAAGATAACCTAAGACTTAGTGATTTATAGGTAAGCTATGATACCATGATAATATTTTTTTGGTTGAATCATTTTTCCATTGGGATCTTTTTGCATTATTGATGAAGTGTATAAGGAGT